CTTACCTTACGCTAACTTTGCAGTGTAAATCCACCTTAAGTCACTAAGCATTATCAAGACTGGCATTATTGATACTGCAATAATTTGTTAGACTGGCTATGTTACGATTTTTCAGGTTCTAAATTTGATGGCAATGAACTAATTATTGCAAATGAGAAATTAGAAGAAGAGAAACAGATCCTTACTGGTTAGTGGATCACCATCAGTACATAATAATGAGTTTATTAATGTAGAAGATAATGAGAAACTTAGAAATATAGTTGCTTATAATGAAGTGTATATAACTGAAATAGAAGAAGAGAAGAGACAAGTAGAAGACGAGAATAAACAAGCAAAGAAAGAAAAGGAGCAAGCAGAAGAAGAGAAGAGACGGTTAGAGGAACAATACCACATTGACAAACAAATCACTAAAGGTTAGAGTTGTCATCAATATGTGTATTGTAAGAGAGGATAATTATTTTAGAACTTAAAGCTAAATTTGCTGTTAATGATGTATACATAACTGAATTAGAGGAAGAGAATGAAAAATTAGAGAAACAATTTTGCAAAGAGAAACAGATCACTAAAGGTTAGATTATCAAATGTATATACATGTACATAATGTGAGAGAATATTTAGAACTTAAAACTAAAGTTGCTGATAATGAGAGATATACTGCCAAACTAATGAAGGAAAGGGAGCAAATCAAAGAGACTAGTTCCATTGGATTACAGTTTAACTACCTGATTCCTTCAATGGGTAAGAGTATTGTTGTGTGACTGACTGCTTTATACAAACATAGATAATTTGGAATGTCTAAGTGATGTCCAGGTAGTAGAGAAAAAGCTATTCTGTATTCAAAGTAACAAATCTCAACTGATGAATTGGGAGAAATATGGTCTAAGGATTGGAGTACAAGAAGACAGCTTACTGCCCTCTGAGACAGTAGAAGTAGCAGTGGTTGCTCTTTTAGGAGGGCGGTTCCAGTTTCCTCCGAATACTGTCCTAGTCAGTGCTGTGTATGCAGTATCACTCTCAAAGCCTCTCCTCAAGCAACTCAAGCTAGAGATACAGCACTGTGTTGATTTAACAGGACAACCAGATCTTGCACAATACTTAAAGTTTGCTATAGCTCCAATTGACACACCCAGCCTCCCTTACCAATTTTCAGTAGTTGATGGAGGTGAGTTTAGCTCTGATAGTGGATATGGATCCATTCAACGTAAAAAGTTTTGTTTGGTTTGTATACTTGGAGAAGAATGGACCAGTGAAGGAGGTAATGGTGTTCCCATAGTATCAGTTAATGAAGACACAGAGGAAGGAGAGGAGGAAGAGGAAGATCAGCAACCACAACAAGAGGAGAATGAGGAGGAGGAAGGGGAACAGCTACAACATGAGGATGAAGGAATTGAGCAACAGCTGGAGGTGAAAGAGGTGGAGGATAATGAACAGGAAGACATTCAGCAGGAACAGGAAGGAGAAAAACAGCAACCAGGGCAAGAGGACAATGAGGAGGAGGAGCAAGATGAAGAAGGAGACAAAGAGGGAGGAGATAATGATGATGATAGTGACAGTGATGATATCAGCAGTACTGCACCAGGGGTTAGTGGAGCAACATTTAAAGGTAAGTTAATTAGTGAGTCTTCTGATCATAACGTAATGTATTCCACTACTGAATAGAGTCTATTACAAAGGAGATTAGTCTCCAAACCAATA